ATAAGGATGTGTTATATACATACAATGGAATACTGCTCAGCCATTAAAAAGAATGAAATCTTGCCATTTGAAACAACATGGATGGAACTAGAGGGTATTACACTGAGTGAAATAAGTCAGTTAAAGAAAGAGAATTACCATATGATTCCACTCATGTGGCATTTAAGAAACAAAACAGATGAACATAGGAGAAGGGAAGGAAAAATTAGATACAAACAGAGAGGAAGGCAAACCACAAAAGACTCTTAACTCTAGAAAACAAACTGAAGGTTGGCGGAGGGCAAGTGGGTATGAAGATGGGGTAACAGTGATGGCCGTAAGCAGGGCATGTGATGTAATGAGCACTGGGTATTATATGCAATTGATGAATCACTAAATTCTACCTGTGAAACTAATAATATGCTATATGTTAACCAACTTGAATTTAAATTAAATAAAAAGTAAAAATAGAACTAGGATATGATTCAGCAACTCTACTTCTGGATATTCATCTGAAGGAAATGAGAACCAATTCAAAAAGATATCTGCACCCCAATGTTCATTCACTGCAGCATTATTTACAATAACCAAGCTGTGGGAACAACCTGTGTCCATTGATGGATGAATGGATAAAGAAAAAAGAAATAATAAAGAAATAAAAAAATAACAGTCTTACCATTTGCAATAATATGTATGGACCTGAGGGCTTTATGCTAAGTAAATAAGTTAGACAGAAAAAGACAAAAGCTGTATGATCTCTCGTATATGCAGAAAATAATATATATATATATATTGTTATTATTATTATCAAGCTCATGGATGCAGAGAATAGCTTGGTTCCCAGAGGCTGGGCATGGGGGAGAGGGGATGGAAGATAGGAGATATGGATGAATTATGTGTTTGTTTTTAGTTTAAATAGTGTAATAATAAAAAAGAATCATCACAGAGGGGAGGTAAAATATACTTAAATTGCTTTATTTTCTATCTTTTTAAAGATTTTATTTATTTATTTATTTATGAGAGACACAGGGAGAGAGGCAGAGACCTAGGCAGAGAGAGAAGCAAGGCAAGCTCCATACAGGGAGCCCAATGTGGGACTCAATTCCGGGATCACGCTCTGGGCCAAAGGCAGATGCTTAATCACGGAGCCATCCAGGCATCAAGGGAGAAGCAGGCTCCATGCACCAGGAGCCCGACGTGGGATTCGATCCTGAGTCTCCAGGATCGCGCCCTGGGCCAAAGGCAGGCGCCAAACCGCCGCGCCATCCAGGGATCCCTGCTCAATAGGGAATTTGCTTGAAGATTCTCTCTCTCTGCCCATACTCCTGCATGCATGTATTCTCTCTCTCTCCCTCTCTCAAATAAATAAATCTTTTAAAAAATGTTCCTGAGGTGCCTGCGTGGCTCAGTTAAGTGTCTGCCTTTGGCTCAGGTCATGATCTCAGGGTCCTGGGATCAAGCCCTGCTTTAGCTCCCTGCTTAACAGGGAGCCTGCTTCTCCAGCTCCCTCTGTGCTCCCTCTCCCCCCGCCCCCCGTCTCTTTCTCTCTCACTATTTCTCAAATAATTTTTTAAATAATTTTTTAATGTTTGTAAGTAATTTTATTGCTCCATGATAAATGCTACAGGACAGGTGTAGGAAACACTTTGGAACATACAGAGGGAAACACTTTGGAACATACAGAGGGAAAAACAGAGTGGTGGCCATGGGAATCCATCAGTAAGGCAGAAGTGACTTGTGCAAGGTCTTAAAGGAGAAAAAGGTTCCTGGCCTGAGAAAAAGAGGAAAGGCATCCCAGATGGAGGCACAACGTACACAAAGCAAATCAGCCCAAAGAAGTGTGGTGTTCTGGGAAGTGGCGCAGACTTCTTATCCAGCCCCCTCCCAGCCTGCTACCTCTCTCCCACAACTTGGAAGTTTCTGTTATTAGCAAAGACTAAGAGACAGATTTCAACTCTCCACTCTCTAAGGGCCCTCTCACATGGCTTCAGGAGAGCACTTCTCTTCGCACACAGAGAAGCAACCGTCCTTTTACCTAAAGAGGCTTAACTACAGGATTCTTAGAAACTAACAGACCTGAACCTAGGTCCAGGAAATAAAAGTTACCATCTTGGCAGGCCCCAGGACAAGTCCAGAAATCCAAAGTTATTGCCACTTCGTTTTCTGTACTTTTGAAGATACTGTATGGTAATAAATACTTCTCTGCAAAACAATAACACAAAAAGCTATATCCTAGAAACTTCTGATCAGAAACAGATCATCTACTTGACTGTTTTGTTCTCCTTTCTAGAATCACATATCCTCCTGTTTCAGTAAAGATCAGGAATTACTCCTAATAGGTGTGTCAACAGGAGCAATAGGAAATAACTGCACTTGACTTCTTTTTTAATTTTTATTTATTGATGATAGTCCCACAGAGAGAGAGAGAGGCAGAGACACAGGAGGAGGGAGAAGCAGGCTCCATGCACCGGGAGCCTGACGTGGGACTCGATCCCGGGACTCCAGGATCGCGCCCTGGGCCAAAGGCAGGCGCCAAACCGCTGAGCCACCCAGGGACCCCTGACTATCTATGGTTTTACGCATATGTCTTTATATTCTTTCTTGGCATTTAGAAGATTCTTTTATAAATTACTAAACTGTTTTAAGTATGTTGTAATAGGCCCTCCTCCCTCAAAAGAGGGGACTCCTTGCTCCAGGGGAGGGCCATACTTTCAGGGATCAGTATGGGGCTGGCATCTGAAATCAAGATGAGTGAATCCCAGGAAGAGAGAGTTAAGGCTTGCTCTTTTTTCAGATCACAGTCCTAGAGTTTATGAAATTTATTTTTTCCTGTTGAGAGCTGTCCCCCTTACAGCTGGTGTTTCAGATGGCAAAGGAGGCACCGAGGTAAGCAGTTACCACAAATCCGTTAGTGTCCTCACGAGCACAGTTTGTTCTCAGAAATCCTTAACTTGTTTTTGGGAGATGGAACTCCCAGGAAGTCCATTTGTCATATGACTAGAGTAAGTGAAAGGTAATCCTTTTTAAAATGTGAGTTATGGAGCTTTGTAATGTGCCATTTATCTATGTCTAGCGTGGAGCGGAAGAAGGCCAGGGCAGGTTATTACATAGAGTGTACTGTCTGTTGTCTTGAGGTCTCCATTCCCCACACCTTGTTCCAGCACACAAAATACTCTCAGGGGGTGAGTTTTGATGAAAACATTGATTGAGCACTTAGAGTTGCTAGTTACCAAACATCAAGTAGGTATTTGAACACATTCATGGTAAGCAAGCTGCTCAATTATTAGGCTTCTGTGTCTATTGACACATACCTTGGTTTAATATTCAATATCAATATAGGTGAGGAATAATTTTCTGGAAGAAAGCTAAACACCTTTGAAAATTGGAAATCTTCCAGAACTCTTTACCAGGCAGGTACATTTTGGAATATAAAAGGGATCAATGCAATCATAAATTTGAAAAGCTTCACACACACACACACACGCACACACACACAAAGGATGGATTCTTACATTTCTTTTCCCGTTTTATAAAAATAATATTGACATGTAGCCACAAAACCTGGCTGAATGGAACAAGATGGTACTATTTGCATTCACGCAAAATGGCTAACACACAAGATATTTAGTTCCTAGTTTTAGGAAACCAGAGAGAGAAAACCCACAGTCTCCAGACTTCCTTTTTTTTTTTTTTTTTTTTTTAAAGATTTTACTTTATTATTTATTCATGAGAGACACACACAGAGAGGCAGGGACACAGGCAGAGGGAGAAGCAGGCTCCATGCAGGGAGCCTGACGTGGGGCTCGATCCCAGGTCTCCAGGATCAGGCCCTGGGCTGAAGGCGGTGCTAAACCGCTGAGCCGCCGGGGCTGTCCTCCAGACTTCCTTTTCAAAAACACTTGCAGATGTTGTACCAAATGACGATACCACCCTAACGTATTCAAGGTTAAACCCCTTAATGGTCTTCACGTTTATAAGGCTCAAGACAACCTTTATTCAGCACCTGCTTTGCTGTTATCCCAACATCCTGTATTCCTACCACCTGACACTGGTCTTCACTTAATATTTAGCGAGTGGGTGAATGCTGCGCGTTCATGTGAGAGACAATGGTATTGTGCTTAGCACAATCCTAGGTAAGAAGCAGGCGTCCACAAAACATGATAAAGTATGAACGGCCACACGGACACAACCTGCAGGGGGTCATATTCTAATCTTAGGTAAGTGATTGGCACTTGGTTCCACATAGTTTCTGTGGGAGAGCCAGGAGTCAAGGCTGGGGGGAGGCGCAAGGCAGTCAAGAACCATTAGAGGGTTCACCGTTCGTTTGTTAGGGCTCTGCCAGGCCTCTGCCGGCGCCACCACACCCCCTGGGGGGCTGGGAGCCCCGTGACAGTCCCATGGGGACGAGAGGGACCCTGCACGTGAGCTCACTCCCTTTCTCTGTATTCCACGTTAATTAATTATTATCAGACGTTTTGAATAAAATCACACCCTCCCTCTTCCATCGTGAACACTTAGAGTCACATTTATACGAATTTACATCTACACAAACTTCTACTGAAAGCCAAATTCCAGGCCTAAGCTGTTGGCCAAACCCCATTAAAAAAAGAGGATAGTAAGTAAATTAGTTGAGCCGATTAAAAACACCTTCATCAACGCAGAGCATGGGTGCCGACAGTATTAAGCTGAACTACCGATGCTTGTCTTTACAGCAGACGGTGCGTTCGCGGGGAGGAGAAGCGACTCCGGTTTCTGTGCCGCGTCCTCCACCCCCCAGTCCCTCAGTTTGGGAGTAAGGACGGGACCTGCGGCGGTCCTCCAGGAGACCCTGGGAAGGGAGGTGACGGAGTAAGGTGGAAGGACACGGAGGCGGAAGCCGGGGCCTAGTGAGGGACGAGGAGGCGAGGCGAGGAGAGGCGGGGCGGGGCGGGGCGGGGCGGGGCGACTACCGGCCGAGGGGGCAGGGGCCCCGCGTGGACCGGGCCGCGGTGCGGGCGCGGGGCAGCCGCCTCTGCCGGGTCGGGCGCGGGAGCCCAGCGCCGCCGCGAGCCGCGCAGGACGCTCCCGATGCCGGCCGCCAGGGGGCGCGGCCGGAGCCGGCGCGGCGGAGCCCGAGGAGGGAGGAGGGGAGCCGGCGGAGAAGGGTCAGCCGCGGCGGCAGGGGCGGCAGCGGCGCAGCTCCGCTCCCCGAGCGTCTCCCGTCCCGGCGCCCCAGGAGGGCGCGCGGCTCCCGCCGCAGGGATGCTGCCGCCCGCCCGCCGCGGCCGCCGCCTCGCGCTCCCGGCGCTGCTCTCGCTCCTCACCTGCTCGCTGGGTAAGTAGCGGGCGGCCCGGGCGCGCACGGGAGAGGCGTGTGCTTCCCGGCGCTGCCGCCCGCGTCCCGCGTCCCGGGTCCCGCGTCCCGGGTCCCGCGGCCGCGCGCGGAAGGAGCTGCCGGGCGGCCCACCCTGCCCCGCGGGCGCCCGTGTCCCGCCGTCCCGTCCCCGCCGCGCCGGCGGCAGCGCCCTCTCGCGGCGTCCGGGAGGGGACCCGGCTCTCCGGGACCCCGGGGCGCGCCGCGCCCGCCCCTCTCGACTGCCGGGTCCCGCCGCCGCCGCCGCCGCCGCGGCCCCCCTGGCGGCCGCCGCCCGCCGCCCGCCTCCTTCCGCCGGGAGCTGGCGGCCGGCCGAGCCGGGGGGGGGGGCGAGGCGCTCACCCCCACAGGAAGCGCCGACTGAGTGTGCAACTGCGAGAAACTTTGGGAGCGGGGACGCGGCGGCCGCGGCCCGCCCCCTGCCTGCCGCCGGCGCCCCGCCCCCTCGCGGCCCCCGCGGCCCCCGCGCCCCCCGCCCTCCGGAGCGCCCCCCGCGGCCCCCGCCCTCCGGAGCGCCCCCCCCGCCCCGCGCCCCCGCCCCCCCTCCGGAGCGCCCCCCCGCGGCCCCCGCCCTCCGGAGCGCCCCCCCCGCGCCCCCCGCCCTCCGGAGCGCCCCCCCGCGCCCCCCGCCCTCCGGAGCGCCCCCCCGCGGCCCCCGCCCTCCGGAGCGCCCCCGCGCGGCGCCGGGCTGGAGGGAGCGGGCCCTGCGGCCGGGGCCTTGCGCTCGCCCCGCGCCGCCGCGTCCCGCAGGCGGGCCCCGCGCCCCCAGGGCTCTCCGCGAGGTCTTCCGGCCGCGCCGCGCCGCGCGGGGCTCGGGGCTCGGGGCTCGGGGCTCCGGGGCTCCGGGGCCGAGGTGCCAACTTGGCGGAGTCCTCGGCCGGGAAGGGAGGCTCGGGCGGGGCGGGGCGGGGCGGGGCCGCCCGGGTGCGGCTCGCGGCTCGCGGGCGTGGGGCGGCCCCAGGCTCGGGTGGCCGCGGCGGCGAAGCAGAGGACACTTGTGGAAACCGTGCCCGGGGCTGCTGCCGCCGTCATGCCCCTTTGCTTTTTGCTTTTTTTCTTCTTTTCTGCTCACGACCGTTTTCTCCTCTTTATCGTCACGTGATGTGGCAAAAGTTTTTTTTTTTTTTAATCATTCTAATTGACATTTATGAAGAGATTTGCTCAAGTTTGACACCGTGGGGGACCCGTGACGCCCTTTTCAGTGTTCTCGGGGTTATTTTCCTCTAACCCGGACTTCTGTGCGTCCAGTCCGCCAAAAGGCAGTAATTTCAGATTTTTAGAAATGGCAGAATGGTGCAGTTTAGGAGCAGATGCAGCGTTATTGCACACTGCTTTTTGGTAGCCCACCGGGACCTTTACAGCTCATTTTTATTCGGATTTATTTATTTAATTTTATCTATTTATGATAGTCACAGAGAGAGAGAGAGAGATGAGAGAGAGAGAGAGAGAGAGGAGAGAGAGGGGCAGAGGGAGAAGCAGGCTCCATGCAGGGAGCCCGACGTGGGACTCGATCCCGGGTCTCCAGGATCGCGCCTTGGGCCAAAGGCAGGCGCCAAACCGCCGCGCCACCCCGGGATCCCTTTATTCGGATTTAAACTCCCCGAATAAGGACGTCGTTTGCGTTCCCCCTTAGCATTTCGGTAGGTGCTCAGTCAGTGTGGGAAAACCGAGTGAGATTAATGGTTAATTAATTGTCCACACGCATGATTAAGTAAGCGACAGTGTAATTAAAAATTTCCGGGCACCTTGGGCACAGAAAGCTACAATTGACGGCGAGAGCTTCTGAACTTGGAGATCTGCTTCAGTGGAAGGAAGACGGCACCGCTGGGAGGGGGTCAGCCCTGGAAGAAGGGGAGGTAGGGGGGTGGGAAATGGGGGAGTGACTCTTGGTTGCCTTGGCTGGCTCGCTGCCTGGGAGCTTTGCACCTAATCCAAACGGGGTGGGTGGTAGCTGAAATTGGCCTTCTATTTATGGCATTGCGCTTTATAATGGGGTACTGGGGCTACAATATTTGTACATGATATAGTCCAGATATGGGCTGGAATACATATTTGTATTGCCATGTGCATCTCCTCCCTCCTCCCTCCCTCCCTCCCTCCCTCCCTCCCTCCCTCTGTTTCATTGCGCTTAAGGGAATATCTGTACTGCCCAAACTTGATAATACATTAAAGGACTGTCAGAATGAACCAAAATGTCAACACATTTTTAGAGACGTCTGTTAACATTGTGAAGTTGTCAGATAAGCACAATAAATAAGACATAGAACCTATTAAAAGGTCCCTGTGAGACATTTGGCTTTGTGAACTGGCTTTCACGGGTTGGTACAGGCACGAAGCTGTATTTTTATTTTTTTATTTTGTTTTATTTATTTATGATAGTCACACAGAGAGAGAGAGAGGCAGAGACACAGGCAGAGGGAGCCCGACGTGGGATTCCATCCCGGGTTCGATCCCGGGTCTCCAGGATCGCGCCCTGGGCCAAAGGCAGGCGCCAAACCGCTGCGCCACCCAGGGTTCCCCCACGAAGCTGTATTCTTTGACGTCTGAAGTAAATCATAAGCTCAGTTGATGGAGCTCTGCTTTGGTGGTGGTCGGGGAGCACCAAGATGTGAAAAGATGTGGTACCCACTCTCTGTATCTCCAAACCAAATATCTTAGAATCCGGCTAGAACAGAGATTATGATACAGGTTCTGAGGCATGTGAACAATGTTGATTGCTTAAAAATACTCTTAATATACCCTTAGAAGTTTGACTCGGGTATGTATAGTTTTAGCTTTTTTACCACAAACTGTAGCATACCCATTGAGTTTTTGGAGGACAGTCAATATAGAAAATTTATTTTAAGCCCATATGATTATACAGACCAAATTCACTGCAACTTCAATTCTTTAAAGTCCAATGCCAGTTCTAGAATCAGATTTATTCACACCTCTACGTCAGCCACCGTGTGGCTTCTAGTGGGTTGGAGCTTGGTTTTCTCCTATAAAACAGGAGGCATAGACTAGATAAAATACCAGAACTTTGCCATTTCTTACGGTTTTAACATACTGATTCTATTGTGGCAGAGACTGCTCTCTGCCAACTCAATAACCTGTAGTTCCTTCTTTTCCAGACTAAAAAACCTCTTAGATAATCAAGAGTGTTGGGTGACTGTATTTGGAGATAGAGCCTCCAAGGAGATAATTAAGGGTTAATGAGGCCTTAAGGGTAGGGCCCTAATCCAGCAGGACCTATGTCCTTATCCTTCTCTGAAGTGGAAGAAATGCCGGGATGCATGTGAACAGAGAAAGGACACAAAAAAGAAGACTTCTACCTATAAGCCAAGGAAAGGGGACTCAGCAGAAGCCAGCCCTGTTGGCCCCTTGATCTTGGACTAATAGCTTCCAGAACTGTGAGGAATACATTTCCATTGTTTAAATCACTCAGTCTATGGTTGCTGTTAAGGCAACACTAGCTGACAAATTCATATAGGGAGTGAGGGGAAGGATGCAGGAATGTCATGGTGGTGATAGCAGTGTGTCCAGTGAGAAAACATTTCCCAGTGGTCCTTGCAAGCCGGGGTAGCCACTGAGTTATCTGTAGAGATTTTTGGGTGGGTCTCTTGGTAAAGCTTATTAAAGGTAGCTGACCCAGTTGGGGTGCATCCTTTTTTTTTTGGTCTTTGTTTCATCTTCTTTCCCATTGTCTGTAAACCTGATGACTGGAGCCATGGCGGTTATCTTGTGACCATGAGGTGACCTTGAAGACAGAAGCAAGTGGTAAGGATGGTAGAGCAGAAGGGATAGCACCACCCAGGTGCCAGATAGATGTGGGAAACCATGCCAGCTCTAGGTCACTTATTTCTGACTTCTATTGCAAGAGATTAAAAATAAACCTCTATCTTGTTTAAGCCTCAATTGTTTCGGTTTTCTATTACATGCAGCAGCTAATGCAATATCTGTGAGGAAGCTCAATTGAACCAGCGGTAAAATAATAAGATACTTTTATCGTTCTTATCCCTGTTTCTGCTCTGTATGTGTCAAGATTGAATTTGTTAGCATCTTTCAAAGTTAGGGTTGATTTTTCATTCTGGTCCAGTTCTTGCTCAGATTCTTTTCATTGCTGTCAGTTAGACATTTTAGGACACCAAGAGCCAGATTCTGATCCCAGGTTATTTTGTGTGTGTGTGTGTGTGTGTGTGTGTGTGTTTAAACCCTGTTTATTTCTTAAGCAAATATGATTGATACAGATTTCACCCATCTGGATAGATTCTTATCCAGGTAGCCTGGGGTCCCCAAGTTGGTATGGGTCATGGGCTTGACCCACAGGAGTTTGCCTTTAGCCAACAGTCAAGCTCTTTATGGGGGGGTCATCTGTTTCAGATAGGATAGTGGGGGGTGGGGAGGAGCTATCCCGACCCTTTTGTTAACTTGCTCTAAGGCAAACATTGTGGATAGAGTTCTTGAGCCAAGTTCTAGTAACTGACCTCATTTGGATGACTAAGGGCCAGGTTGTTTTTTGGTTTTTGTTTGCTTTTGGGTTTTTTTTTTTTTTTTTTTGTTTTGCTGCTTTGCTTTTCATTAGAAACAGTCATAATTTCTAGGCACAAAGGGATTATTTATGGGGAATTTGCAAATGTATATTTTGCTTCTTTGTAGCATTATGGGTAATCTACCTTTGGTGTTGCCAGATTCTTGCTTTATAAAGGTATATGGGAGTGTTAATTCCATCTTTCCCAACACAAAGGAAAAATTCTAGTGTCAGGGGTTCATCAGATCTATTATTGATTGAGAGTTTCCCTTAATTCCATGTTTCAAAGCTCTATTCACTAAGCCACTCCCCAGAGAAACCCAATTCAGTGTAGGCGCTGATTTGCACTCCTAGGAAATGTTAACAGTTCAAAAATAGTATTAAAAGAAAGAACTGAAAAAAAAATAAAAGAACTGTACTTGGAATTTTTTTCATTTATTCAAAAAGTGTT